CTGGACGTTGAGCAGAGCACATATGTTTTTGTGAACCCACAGAGCCCCACAGGCAGCCTGCCTTTCTGAACCGCGTTACATAACATGTATGTTCTTCTTCTAACAATTATAAATCAGGTGGTTTTGCAGCTTTCTCGTGACCGTTCAGAGGTCGCCCTGACGGGGACAGATGTGGAGCTATGTTGGATGTCTTGTATTGTGATCACTAGTGTCTAATCCTTTCACTGAACTAACTCAGAGGCCGTGAAGCTCAAAGAGTTCCTCCAACAATTCAGTTACACATTCAGGTTATTGAATTACAGTAATGAGAAAGAGTTGGAGTCACCTGAGGTTGGAGTGAGGAAGGGACAGAATGCTTATTTGTCTCAGGACTTTTTGTTTACATGTCACGAGGAGGCTGCTCAGGCTGATGAAATCTGTCTTAAACTGTTTCCATCAGACTGAAGGTCACTTTGAAAGTATTCAATTTAAAAACCCCTAACACAAAGTGATCATTCCTTCATAGCCTTGAACCTGGATGTTTAAAGTCCGTGTTATAAACTGAGCATCCTGGGTTTTGAAAAAATTGGATATGTAGGATTTTATTGAAAAATTATGTTGAGTTGCATTATGGGATTTGTAGTTCAAAATGGTTTGGTTCATCCTCTGGTATAATTTGTTGTCATGTTCATCATGCAGTTAAAGAATCTCTTCAGACTTGCCACCTGTGAGTCTGATCGAACTTAAAGCTGTTGGTTTGAACTTCCTGACGTTGTTTCCTCTTTAGATTCTTGCTTGTGCTGTACTTACTCTCTGATGTCCGTCGCTTTGGATAAAAGCGTCTGCTAAATGATTTTTAGACTTAAATGGGCGTTCACATGAACTTTCCCAGTTGTGTAACACTTCCTGTTGTAATGCCAGCTGTCATATATGCAGGACAATCAGTAGTAGACCCTTGAGCCACACTATCTGAGACCAAAGATAGACCAGAGTGCTCTGGGTCAAGGTCAAGGCCAAGACCAAGGCCGAGACCAGGACCAAGACTATAAATCATTATATGTGCAGACTAGAGCGTGTCCCTAACTTAGACCGAAACACCAGAAGAGTTTGTGGCCTTAACCGGTGAGATAAAAATAAAATGATGATTGAATTGAAGTCATTGGTTCTTTTAGAAAGATCACAGTGATGATGTGGAAATGTAGCCTCTCATTAGCGGTCTAGATTTAAAATCCGGAGTTCACCCAGTTTGAGACCAAGACAAGAGCGAGTAAAAATGCAACTCTTCTTAGCATCATTAGATTCAAACACTACAGTTTGAACAATAGTTGCCTTGAGCTCCCATGTTTTGGGTCCCATATGTCTCTGCCCCATAAACATTCAGTATCTGTTTGATCTGACGCCTCCCTGAAGTGATATCACACCACTCAGAAGGCACACACAGTCAAAGCCTCCATAGCGACCATCTGCAGGAGTATGTTATCACATAACAGCCTCTCTGTTCCACTGGCCAGAAGGTTTCTTTTTTGTTTGTGGGAAATGAAGTTCGAAACAAGCCTCTGCATTGTCTTAAAACACAAAACCGCCTCACTACAGTGGATCCTCATCGCTGCTCGATGGCATGTGACGGACACACACAGATTACAGGCCGTATCTCAAACAGATGTCAATATAGTGGAAGCGGGGGCGTCATCCAGGAGGCAGTTATGCAATGTCTGGCCGCGTCCTAATAAAGCACATCTGCTGCTGATTTTGGAGATTTCCCCCCTCGAGATGCACGTCAACAATTGAAAAGTTGAAAACAAAATCCACTAAGTCCTCTTGGGGGGGGGGGGGGGGAACAGAAAGCTGTGTTTCATATCTCTTCAGGGAACAGAGTTCTAAAACCAAGAGGGTTGGGCTACTTGAATTTCAGTTCATAGTTTTGCTCCAACATTTCAGCCGAAGTAAAACCTGATAATGACTCTAAAAGATGTGCTGAAATGTTGAAGAAAGAGACAACACAGGACTTCATGTTGAAGACTTCGCAGGTGAAAAAGACGGTGCAGAGCTGAAGTACGGGATAAAAATGGAAGGGGGGGGGAATGGATGGGACAGCAGAGGATGGATATGATGGGACAACTGCGTCAAAGGCAGAATCAACGTCTCGCTTCAGGCGCTCAAGTCCCCGGAATATGAACCCTGAGCTAGACGCCCATTGAAGCAGTCAAGTGCAACGGTGTTTACCCGTCTCACATTTTCCCTTTTTGGATTAGAAAGCAAAGAGGAAATAAGTGACAGTAAGGCTGTTCTTGATGGGGAGTGGGGGGGGGGGGGGATGGCATCAAAAAGAAGAAGATGTTGGGATTTGGTGTTCAGGGATCAAGATGTGGATTTTACTCCCCGAGTGAAGCGCAGTGGATACCAGGCCAAGTTAGAGCGTATAGTGGCGGCATCAGAGCGTGCTGAAAACTCCAGCAGAGCATTAAGTGAAGTGTGGTATGACGACATCCCCGATGCATCCTCTCTGCATGGATGGGTCGCTAAAAAAAATTCCTCTGGTATTCTCCCAGTGCGAGGCTGAGTGGTTACTAGAGTATGATAATGTCGTAGTAGAGACACTTGGAACAAACCGCTAACCTACATTCAGGGTGAAGAAACGACGAGGTGTTACCAAGAGACATTGTTGCAGGTTTTTTTTTTTAACTCGTGTTGTACGGCGTTTACAGAAGGATTGTACGGAGAACATGCTCGGGCTTATTCCATAACGCCTCACTGAAGGGATTACATTTGCAAATCCGACTCCTGAATCAGGCCTGGAGAGAAGAAAACATGTTTTTGACATAAATATTGAAAACAAATCTGCAACACTCCGACTGAAGGAGTCCTATAATCAAACACTGATGCAGTGATCGTAACATGGCGCCTGTGCACAACAATGATGCATCTTCTCACAGTCAGAGTTACCCTCCTCACAGTCGGAACGTAAATATTAGTTATGCACGAATACGACTTCTTCAGTCGTCAAACAGACACCAGAGATTTGACTGTTCAAGAAGCTGAATGCTCACATTATGAGACTCCATTAGAAAGTATCAGATGAGAACATATTGAAACAATAAACTAGCTAATTAAATCTGTGGCTCAGTTGGTAGAGTCAGTCGTCTCTCAACCGCAAGGTCAGAGGTTTGACCCCAGCTCATGTGCGACGTGTCTTTGGATTTAAGACACTTAACCTCGAGTTGCTCCCGCTGCTTCATCGGGCAGAGTGTGAATGTGTATGAATGAGATTAACTACTTCTGATGGTCACTTGACTCAGCAGCCTCTACCATCAGGGTGTGAACATTGAGGTGTGACCTGCAGTGTGAAAGTGCTTTGAGTAGTCGGAAGACTAGAAAAGTCCAATTACCGTTTAACAAATTTAAGCCACAAACTAGAACTAATTAAAGTTGCCAAAATTCAGTACTTTTTGATGCCATGTGTTTTAAAAGGTTACAATCTCCATGTTTTTTTAAATGTTCAATAATACCGAAGCTTTAAAAAGACTTCAGACCTTATTTTTAATCAAAAGCTGCCGTGAGCAAAAGAGAGAGAGAGAGAGAGAGAGTACTGTCTAAATTGCACATATACGTTGACAACAAATGTGTGCAATTTAGACGTGTGTGTGTGTTATTTTCTTACAGCCTAACCAGGGATGAGGAATGCAAGTCCTACATTGATTGCATCATTTTGCACTTTAATTAGATGTAAGAATGTCTAAATGTCATCTCCCTGACAAATAAACTGATACATAAATAATACACAGCTTGCAGGAGTTTGCCTGCAATTTTTTGGTGATTAGAAAGCAGGAGTTTCCTGACATCAGGTGCCTATAGGACTTCCATTTTTGTTGCTCTTGTATCCCAACAGGTGTCGATAATCTTTGGCTTTAACCAGAATATTATTGAAGTTTAAAAACCGTGTGGTGGGACAACCCTACAACACAAACTTTACATTTGTTACGTTATATTTTTGCAGTGATACCAAAAAGCTGCAGATATAGATGTTCGCCTTAAGACAGCTGACACTTCAGCTCTTCATGTTCCTTCAGGCTAAAAGGATTAAAGTGGCTGCTGATGCATTACTTCGTACATGCACATAGAAGTTAACAGAGGGATGTAATGAACCTGCCATAGACGAGTTGATTACCGTTTTGAAGCATGTATTCGTAATTTCTGTTGTCACCATGTTGTACTCTGAGTGTGGATCTGATGTGGATCTTTATTCTACAGTCTGTTTGACTCCCAATGGGACCGTGATTTCACATCAGTGCATCCTTTTATTAAAGCCTTGATTAACAGAGAGGAGCACTCAGATTAGATTAGGCAGACGTCTCTATGTGGGCAAACACCACGCTAATCTGTTACAGCGTTCTGCCAGGCTTTAGTAGACCGTTTGAATTTGAACATCTTACTCTTTGTGGCTGAAAATTTCTTCCTTACGCCTTTTTTTAATATAGGATGATGGATAGCGTCAGAAATCTGAGAGGGAGAGTGGGGATGGACATGTGGGAAAGGTCCTGAACCCGGGCCGCCTGCCTGGAGGACCACAGTCTCCATACACGGGCTAACCACTGAGCTACCGGCGCCCCTACTTAATTTTTATTTGTACTAAAACAGTTCGATGTTTTCCTGCACAAAAAGTTCAGCTTCCTATTTTTATATCAACTTGAGCTGCAATGTTGAGTCTAAAAAAAATCAAATAAAAGTTCCCTCCACTGGTCATTTGTTAGTCTTTTCAAACAAACCAGAACCCCACAAGGTTTATTTCTTAAACAGTATAGCATTTTCTTTGTATGGAGGATTTTGACTTGAGGAGGGAAAAAAGCTGTTTAAAAAGAAATGGCGCTGACAGCTCGGGTTTGTGTCACCGAGAATGAATCAGACAGTTGCCGAACACAAATCACTGGAGCAAATCTACCACCGTGTCTGTTTGCTGTCTTATAAACTACATGAATCATTGATTTATTGCTAAAATAATGAGCTCCAATATTGATGATCTCCAGGTATGGTTTGGAGAAAAGTTCGATGCCCCGTTGCTGAGTCCCAGGAGCCCTCGCAGCCCGTTGGCGCAGAGACACGGCCCCGGCCTCGCAGACGTCTTCCAGTACGACCAGTGGCTGGCCGTGAGACATGAAGCCAACCTGGTGCCCATGCAGGAGGACCTGGCCATCTGGCTCACCGGCATGCTGGGTAAGTAAAACAGTCAAAGAGAGAGAGAGAGCTGCTTTTAGAGGTTTTTTTTTTTTTTCTGATTCAGGGTTGTTGTTGGGTTATTTTTTTCTCTTGCATGAGTAAATAAAAAGCGAGCAGCTGAGTCCAGGTCCGTGCGCATGTGAATCAGCGCTGTGCATGCTAACACTGTCCCCCCTCGAGGCTAGGAAAATACCCAAGCACAATTGACACGGGTGTCCCATGTAATTGGATTTGGATGCTGTCATTTCCAAACCGGTCTTTAGCAGAGCACAGAAACAGGAGTGGAACAAAATCCCTCATTTCATCCGTCTTTGCCATTATACTGACGTCTATTGTCCCCGTCAGATACAATGAGGCAGTGAGGACACTAAAGCCGACTGCAAACTGACTCTATTGTTGACTGCTGAAACTGTTTTTTTTTTTTGTTTTTTTTTGTTCAATAGATACTTTAGATTTTCTCACGAGGAATGTGGGCAGGTACCAAACACTTAGAAAGAGTTATGAGTAGCGTGACCCCGGTGACCTGTATCCCACATTTCTGGACTCTTTAAACGGTTTGGCCCATCTGATAGTGGATCCAGAGGGGGGCCGGATGCTTTGCAGGAGAACAGGTGGCGTGCAGCGGCTGAGGTTTCAAGCCTCGAGGCTCGCCCGTTGTCCTGCGGAGGAAATAAACTTTTGTGGAGAAATCTCTGTCACTTTATGTTATGGCCATTGTGGGTTTTGTGTTCCCAGTGTGAGTTAAGTTCACATGGACCTTTTGTTGAGCTTCTCAGAGGGGTGTGATTTACAACGGGGGGGGGGGTCGTGGGAGCGCGATGAGCCCTGGGGGAGTTTGTGAGGGAGTCTACTGTTGGAAGTCAATGTTGAGTCCTACCGCAAAAGATGCAGTAGAAGAAGAAAATCTGTTTCAAAGAGAAGGTTCCTCAGGCCATTAAAAAACGACTGAACTCCAATGACGACCCTGTAAAATAAAAGCCTCTTGTAGATAAAAAGAAAATCGTTTGCATTGTGCTGACGTCGTATTCTCTTCAACTTTCAGGAGAGGAGGTGCGAGCCGAGTTCTTCATGGAGGAGCTGAACAACGGCGTGAAGCTCTGCCAGCTTATCGGCGTGCTGCAGACCAAGATCGCCGAGAGCTGCCCCTCCGCGCTCTGCAAGGTGAGTCAGACCGCACGGATGGAAATAGCTCAGATGATCATCTTTAAGGGCAACCTGGATGTTTACACATGGTGGGATGTTTGGTTCTTACTGCGACCTTCAGAGGGCTCCACAATTCTCCGACTGATTCAGGGTCATCTTCTTTGAAGCTGTCGGTGGAGTTTGAGCACGTTCTGCATCATCTGATAATGTACTCGTCTATCATTTTGAAATGCATCCATGTCAGATTTTAAAGCATTTCACTGGGGAGAATAAGTGTGAGTGCATCTGAACTGTCGTAAAACACAGTGTGTTGACGAAGCCTCCAAGGTGTCTGACTTTCAGCCTACTATTCCACAAAGCTCTTCCCAACGTGTAAAAGCCTGCCCAATGTTTACTGTAGTCCAGTTACATAGTGCTGAAAACAGGCTACTGGGGCACTTTGTGGACATGGGACAGACGAGAAAAACACTATGGACAGCACTCCAAAATTGTATTTTATTTACACATGATCGTTTTGAGCAGGCGCACTCTACTTCTGCGTCTAATTTTGTCCAATATACACAGGTGGGACTCATTTTAAAGAGGACATATTATCCCCCTCCTCCACCTTTTCAAACAGTCCCCCTGTGGTCTAAATGAAACATCTGTGCTGTGCTTTGGTTAAAATATAACATGAATCAAGCACCAGAGGAGGTTTGTGACCCTGTATAAACCAGCTCTCTCAGAACGCTCCGTTTTGGTGTGTGTGTCTCTTTAAATGTAATGAGCCCGCCCCTGAGTTTTCCTAGTAAACATCACTCCTCTGTAGTGAGAATAAAAATGGCAGACCTGCACAAAAGTCTTGCTCTGGGCTGGGGGTGGAGTCCATGGGTGGAGATACCAGGGAAGGGGAGGGGATTTAATTTTTTACCAGAATCCCACTGTGACATCACAAGTTGAGCAAATTTGAAACGGAGCATTTTTCGGAGACGCCATTGTTGAAAGTGATTGTACGATTAGATCTTTTAAACTACTATTTTAAGGTGAAACATTACATGTTGCTGCTTTGTTTTTTCGGTGTAAAACTATCAACTTGGAAAATATCTACTACTACTATCAACTTTTATGGAAGTCAACGTCTCATGATTGTTCGACCAGCTCTCTGCCATCTGTTCTTCATGCACCTTGCTGTGTTGTCGTGTTGTAATAAAAGTAGCTTCTAACATTTCAACAGTTTTTTTTGTCTTTTAAATCCACTCCCTCACCTACAAATGTCACAGCAGTGTTTGGTGGTGATGCTAACATGTTCATCTTTTCTGACAGCTGTTCCCCACGAGGAAGGTTGCTTGTAAGCGCGACGCCTCTCCGGGTTCCTTCTTCGCTCGTGACAACACTGCTAACTTCCTGTCCTGGTGTCGCCACATCGGGATGGAGGAGACCTACCTGTTCGAGTCAGAAGGCCTGGGTAAGAAACCTGCAGCCCAAACCTGCCAAAGATCAGGACTAGTCCACACGTAGGCAGGTAGTTTTTAAAATGGGGGGGGTTTCCTTCTCTCTTTAAAAATTAAAAACATCTTTGTCCGCATGAAAACTCAAAACGTGCTGATACGGCTGTCAAGAGCATTCTCACTACAGGTGCACTATGTCTCCCTCATGTTGTGTTAAAGAAGACAACTTTAAATCTGAGACATGAGGAATTTTGCTGAACCAAAAGCCAGTTCCAGTCTGCTGTTTTTTTGTTTTTTTTGTTTTTGCTCTTTCTGTCATGAATCAAAGTCTTGTGAAGCTCTCAGCTCATGCACATCAGGCAGACTTAACTCTAAAAATCCATCTATCTTAATGAATCAACCTTTATGTTGATGAATCTGACCTTTGAGACTCTGGAAAGCGAACCATTTGTTTTTGTCTGACACGTCCGCTAGTTACACCGATGGAAACTTTTTTTTAAGCGCTTCTCTTTGGCAAACTGTGAGATACTTTTTACAATCCAGACTCTTTATAAAAAAATCAAACACACACACACAGTCCTTGAATAGAGGCTGAAGTTACACTGGTATATGTATTCAAGCAGATCTTCACAGAGCATCTGGTAAATCTTTTAATTCAGGGGGTCAAAGTCTCACAGAAACGTCTCTACACCTTTCTCACCCCGGCCAAGTTATGCTGACTCCTTAAATTCCTCTTAGCTCTCATTACTTTAGTCAGATCAGGGTCCAGGGCCGTTTGAATTCTCCCAAAATGGAACCCCAGACCAAGAAAAATAAGGCACCAGAGTTTTGTGCTCGCATGCAAGACGGTCAAAGTCTAAAATATTTCCAATGGTGTTGATGTATCTGAGTGTTTGTATAAAGAACTTCATCATATCAAATCAGCCACATCATCCATACCTGTGATTTTAAATTATTCAGCTAACAAGAATAGCATTAAGTGGACATACTGGGGTTGTAAGCTCCTGATAACTCTGCAGAGATCTGTTGTTTAAGACTCCCTTCTTAATGGATTAATAGGATCTGTCGTGGAGAGCAATCATCCTGAGTACTCTGCACGGGGGATCACTTCTTTCAAAACTCACTTGAGCCATACAGAAAAGAGCGCCATATGTCTGCTGCTCCAAGAATCAAACCAGACATACTCTTTTTTTTTAACGCATATATATGTGTGTGTATGTTGTTATCCTCAAGTGACTTTTACACATGTGAGTTTAAGTCGTGCTCGCCCGTCCTCCGTCTGCATGAGTCACCAATCATCCCGTGGGGGGGGGGGGAGCTAACTTTATCTTTTGTGCTCATAATGTCACGTTTCTGATGTCATAACACGTTTCTTAATCCTCTGAAGAAAGCTGCTTCTTCGGATAATAATGATGGGTCGGTTAATTGTTGCTTTTTTTCTTTTTTTTCTTCCCTCAGTGCTGCACAAGGAGCCTCGGCAGGTTTGCCTCTGTCTCCTGGAGATCGGCCGTATTGTCTCCAAGTAAGTCCTGAAATGTGTGACATCATTCGTGTCTCTCTCCAGCCAGATGTGAAAATACAGTTTTCAAGATGTTAATCAGGGAGGCCAGGCTCCTAAAAAGTACTTTTTGGGGGATTTCAAGGTCTTTAACTTTGACCCAGGTCATGTCTTTTCCTCTTTGCAAGCCTGGACGATGATGTCTTTGCATCTTCTACTGCACTGATAAGTCGTTATTATTCAAATTTAGCAACAACTTAACTTTAACTTTAGGTATAAAACAATTTATCATCAAAGGTGCAAGGCAGGCAACTGCTTTGGGGGCCCCTAAGTAGATACATTTTGCAATGTCATTGGGAAACCTCCCTAAACTGGCCCCGTCTGACAGCACTCACTCCCGTTGCCCTGCTGAACACTGGTTTGTGGGTGCGTTGGAGGGGTCTCCAATTGATTTTTGCTATAGGGCCCCAACAGACTCTAGAATCGCCGCTGTTTATCATATTACAGAATATTTAGCGCGGCTCATCAGCATTACAAGAAAATAACTGAGGTTTAAGGGTCACCGTTAAAGGAGATAAAAGTATCTTTATTGTCAATCCTGCTATATGTAGAGGATTTACAGTGGATCAAAATGAAATTACAGTGATAAGAGACGATGATGCAATTTGTCAGTGGTCAAATATAGCAGCCAAAGACTGTATGAAATATGACGTATGGACATTGGCTTCTAAAAGGGGGTTATGAAGCCTAATGATGGCAGTCTCCATATTGGACACGCTTTGTCAACCTAACTTTGGATCAGTCCGTAACAAACAAACAGTTGGAGTTAAGGCGGGGCTTAATCCTCCTGGCATGCGGCTACTGTGTGTCCACCTGTCAGTCAACTCAGCCACACCCCTTTTAATGCATAACTCGGAAGGCTTGATATGATCGGAACGAAGACGTAATTAAGATTTCAGACAAAAACTGTTTCTTGAAGCAGGCTGTAAACATTGTTAACCCTGGAGGTTGTGACTTGATGATAACAGCAGAGTTGTGTTTGAGCTGTTGCAGAAAAAGGGTGCTGGAGCGTGGTGTGAACGTTCTTAATTTTTTGAAAGGGGGGGTGGTAGTGTCAGAGCATTTTTGAGTAAGGTGTGAGGGCGTTTAACGACCTCCTCTGTGCACATGTAAACCCTGCTCTGTGTCTGTCAGGTACGGCGTGGAGCCCCCTGTGCTGGTGAAGCTGGAGAAGGAGATCGAGCTGGAGGAGACTCTGCTGATGACCGAGGAGCCGCGTCCCGCCGTCAAAACCTTCAGCGTGTGCTGCCAGCACGGCGGCCTCTACCAGCCCGGGGTGAGTCCTGATTGACAGCAGGAAACATTTGAGCACATGTGACGGCTGTGATGTTTTGACACAGACCGAACATGAAACGTTACACACCTGGAGGCAGGAAGTGTGGCTTCATAACAGCCCCCCTGAACTCTTGTTTACGCCGGTGAACTGTCATGTCACTCGAGTCTGTGCGATGATGTTCACTGCTGGCGACACAAACAAGCAAAAAAAGAAAATCACAAAAGGGCCGCAGCTGATCAGGTTAGCAACACGTAGCCGCTGCTGCTGCTGCATGTGCGACCCATTTGAAGCAAAAATGGCGGCAGGCGTCCGCTCTTACCGCTTCACTGGCGCCCCACGGGGTCTGACACATCGCAGCTGACCATGCTGCTGCTCGTGCGGGCGCCCCGTGCCTCGCCGTCAACACGTGACCTCCAGGCTATCGCAACATGCCGTCATGCAGCACATGAACGATAAACTCACCGCTCATTTAAATACATAACATCTCCGTCAGCTGGGGTTACAAACACTTTCTAAATCATTCCTAACGGGGCGAGATTATTCCCCCCGGTGGAGTAAAACAAGGCTCCGACACTCTCAGGGTTGGGGGTTGTATTCCCAGAGGAGACGGCTAAAAATAACTGCCCTCATTGAAGTGGAAGTCAGTTTGAATAAAAACAACTTGTGTGTGTGTGTTTTTTTTTTTCTTCCCCAAATTGCAGTTTGCATTACACATTCATAAAAGCCTCAAACAGACAGTTACTAGCTATTTTAGTCCATCACATCGCCCTCTTCTTCCTCATCGCGGGACACAAATGTGTCTCTGCGTTAGTCATCGGGTGTAATCGCATCACTGCTCGCTCATGCAGGAAAAACTAGAGGTCCTTAAATGCTATATAATCCAGTCATCTGAGGTCGCACTGAGTTTTCCCCCAGATGGAAACATCCTATCACATGTTGGTAAAGAGAGTCCAATATGGCCGCCTAATGGTTCCTCTTTTTGTCCACTTGTAGGAGCACGGCATGGACGACCCTCCCTGCAACTGCTCCAACAGAGTCTCCATTGAGTACCTGTCTGAGGGGCGCTACAGACTGGGAGACAAGACCCTCTTTATCCGGGTGAGTGTCCTGACTGAGCGCACACACACACACACACACACACACACACACACACACACACACACACACACACACACACACACACACACACACACACACACACACACACACACACACACACACACACACACACACACACACACAGTCCCTTTTTTTGCAGTGGTTGAAGACTCTTGTCTGCCTTACCCACAGCAGATGTCTCCTTTTGTCCAAAATGAAAATGAAATGAAAAACTGGAAAAAATGTGAACAGAGCAGTTTCACCTTTTTAAAAATCAGTGTTTTTCTTCTTACACTATCTGGCTGAGCTGCTGCTATCGTTTACTCTAAAGGTGATTTTAAAACGCAGCATGGGGTTCAATCAGTAGTTGCTATAGTCGGCTAATCATCAATTACCTAATGTGTAGGTGTGACCTGTGGTGTAAAAAAGCTTTGAGCAGTCAGAAGACTAGAAAAGTGCGACACAAGCTCGGGTCCATTCATCTTTTTTAATATCTGAGTTTTGTGGAGGGACGAAATGGGAAACAAATGAAACAAAATGTCTTGTATGACTGAGAGTAGAATCCAGTTCAGCAGAAATACTAAAGAAGCAGATTTGATGAATTAAACGAACACTTTAAAGGTGCACTGTATAGATTTGGTAGTGAAATTTAAAAAGTAGAATACAATTCGATGCTATATTTTCTGAACTAAATACACAAACTTTACTCAAAGAAAAAAAAAACAGCTCTCTGAAACACTTGGAGCTAAAAAGCTACCAGGAGAGTTACCTTTGTAGCGTAGCATTTTATCTTCAAATGTTCCAGGGACCCAATTTTCCTCTGAGGACAGTTTGTGTTTAGAGTTTTATATACCACAGAAACTGTACGTTTCTCCACCTTTTCATATTTCTCTACCAAAACTCCAGAGTGCACCTTTAACCAGCACTGAGTAAGATCTTCCTGGAGTGCAGTACGAGCATGAATACTTCAGTTTATATCCTATTAAGTGTGTGTGGTAGGATACACACTGACGACACGGGCTGCTGACTGTGTGTGTGTGTGTGTGTGTGTGTGTGTGATCTCTGGCAGAGATGTAGAGCGTGCAGGCGTCTTCACTGCATCGCTCGCGGCTCTGATTGGACACATGTAAGCTCGTTACCCAACGGTGGCGGCTTGCGTTAGGGCGATTACATCATAATTACTCTGCTGTCTGCGGTGCCAAGAGGACGGACAAACTCGTTATAAACCTGCCCGCTGCTATTTTTGGAACTTCCGAAGAGCACCTCACTGTTGAAACCTGTGTTTATAAATCTTGGAAAGGAATTGAACTTTTCTTTTTTTTCGTCTCCACAGATGCTTCATGGGAAACACGTGATGGTGCGCGTCGGCGGCGGCTGGGACACGCTGCGCGGCTTCCTGACGAAGTACGACCCGCTGCGCGTGCTGCAGTTCACCACCCTGGAGCAGAAGATCCTCGCCTTCCAGAAAGGCCCCCCCGGCCTGGGAGGTCACCACGGCAACACGGCCCCGCCCCCTTCCCCCGACATGGACCCCCTCGCCGCCGTCAACGACCTCATCTCCTCCTCGTCTTCGTCCTCCTCCTCCTCGTCGACGTCCTCGTCCTCCAGCTCCGCCTGCAAGCCGATGAACGCTGCCGGTCAGACGTGTCGGTCCTACACCCCCTCCCCCGCCTGCACCCCCACCCTGTCCAGGAAAGGTTCTGTCTCGGTGCCCAAGAAGAACCTCATGGGGACGCCGTCCTCCCCCAGGAAGCCCACCCAGCTGCCCCTACCCGTCACCACCAAAGGCTCCTCCTCTCTGCCCGCCACGCCTGTGGGAGGTTCCTCTAAACAGTCCCCTAGCCCGGTGGGGGGTCACGGTGCTCAGGGACCTCGCAGAGCCCTGACTCCATCCTCCAGTCCGTCACCCACGCCCCCAGACCCAAGTACCGCCTCCAAACTCAAGCTCAGGCCGTCACCACGCGGCCCCGCCTCCCAGCCCAGGAGCCCCGTCTGCCCCGAGCCGTCCTCTAAATTTCCAAAACCCTCGACGCCCTGCACCTCCCCCACCGCCTCCTCTGTTCCCCGCCCAATCACAGCACCAGCACGAGTCCCCGCCCCTAAAGACGGCCGACCTCCAACCGGTGCCGGCCAGCGCTCTCGCCTCGCACAGCGCCGTCCCGGTTCACCTGCATCACGCCTCCGATTAGAGGGGGCGAGGCGGGTGAGGACGGCCGCGAGGGCCGCAGCGGCTCCAACAAGAGTCGCTGTTTCGGCCCCTCAAACCCGGACCCCCACCCCAATTTCCCGCACGGCCTCCCCGGGGCTGCAGAAGCCGACCTGCCCCCTCCCCAAGAGCAAAGAGGTCAAAGCCAAGGCTCCGACTAAAGCCGCCGCTGCCCTTCCACGCAGCACCGCCGCCGTCCCCGGGCGGGTCCCGCTCGGCAACACGGGCCCGCCTCCCACCAGCAGAACCAATCAGAAGACAGCAGCCACGGCACAGAGGGTGGGCCGAAAACAAACCCCCAACAACGAGAAGTCCACTCTGAAACCTGAACTGTCCCCGGGACCGGCCCTTGCCCCGCAGAAAAGCAGCCCCAACGTCAAAGCGGGGAAGACGGAGCCGAGCGTCCGCAAGAAGATCCCGCAGTACATCGGCAAGAGCGAGGACGCTTACTTTGAAATGAACGGCAGGAGGAAGCAGAGGACGTAACTGCACGGCCTCTGACGCTGATCACACATCAGCAAGCAGCACTTGTTGGATCTCAGACTCTTAAAAAAAAACAAAAAAAAAACAAAAAAACATGAATCTCGTGAATAATCCCGACCGCGACGCTTCATTTCTGACCATCGTTTTTTTTGTATGTTATTTAACAGTCTTTTATTTCCTTTTTTTTTTTTTATATCCAAAGGGTCAAAGACGTCATGCTTCTGTATGTCTTCTCTTTGTTGTGATCAAATGGTCTTTTTTTTAAGAAATCGATATCAGCTCCATTAACTTCTTAAACCGGAGGCCAACGAGGGCGATCGACCTGCAGCTGCACAACGGTTTTTAAAAAGCAATAACGTGTTGCGAATTCAGAAAGGATGCAACATCAGGAACACGATGCAAATGTTAAAAAACTGGATGCAAGAGTTGTGTTTGGCTTTGTGCATCCCGCTCTTGCATTGCATGTTGTTTCTGAACGCTGAATCTCCTGCAGGCCTTTTGTTAGCCACCGTAGCTTAACACTAAAACTTGCACAATGTTTACATTCTCTCCTTTGTTACATCTAAATATCTTGAGTTTTTGGAAATATCAAATAATAGAATTCAGTAGAAAATAAATCAAACACTAACCTCAGAACTTTTTCAGCTCTGAAGTAAAAACAGGACTCAGCCATGATTCATTAAAACACACTTAAGTGAACTTCTAAAGGAGAAGGTCCGTTTTTATAACTCTGTTACCAAAGTTGTGAAGACTTCAGTGACACAACTGGAACTCAAATGATACATGTTACTCCCCAGTGAGAATAACCTTTCCACTGGTGGGGGGGTCAGATGTCGGATTTTTTTGTATAAATGATATCTAGGTAGGTGGGGTGGTGGGGGGGACAGACCTTCCTTTGTGTGCCTTCATCAGAGATGGAGTCTCTGAGTGGCAGTAGAATGTATACGATGATCTGGGATGGTGGTGATGGTGCGGGCGGCGGCGGCGGGTGGGCGGGGGGGGGGGTGTTTACTGGGTTTTAAAGATGAAAATTGCACAGTGTGTACGAGCACTCATGCCTCTGTTTTCTCAGAGATGAACTACTGATCAAAACGCCTCTTTTCTTTTTGAACAGGAAATCCTTTTAGAGCTTCTCGGTATAGACGTGTTTTTATATGGTTTCTAATATTTCTGTGTATTAAAAATCTAGTTTTCTATGTGGTGTTTGTGTATATGAGTGTGTGTGTGTGTGTGTGTGTGTGTATATATATATATATCAGTGAGGCTTTCTTTTCTTTTTTTTCTTGTTTGGCACTTTACAGAAACCGCTGTGTTTGTCTGAAGTTGAATGTTGATTCTGTCGATTGTGTTCCTGCTACCTGTTTGTCATTTGATCAATAAATGGACAAGTGTTTTAAAAGGTTAACTCTGCTTGGTTTGTCTCTTTTCACACGTCGGGCTGTTCCCTTCGTGACATCATAAAGGGCAGTGTTGAAGAAGCGAAATCTCCTGTCCATGTTTGGGGAAAGTTAAACTCTGCTGCCCTCTAGTGGTTATAAACAAACACTGCACTGGGGTTCAGTCAGTGTCATTGGTTAATTTATGTTGGATTATGAAGAGATTTAAGAGTGGGGGGGCTCTTTAACTTGACATATTAACCTTAATAAACTAGATACTCTAAAAATATATATTTTAAATCAAATAAAAAAGACAAGACCCCATTTTGTTAATGTTTGCAGCTGAAACTCCGATACAACAGAGGAGAGTTTCAGTTCATTCATACATCATAACTGTGCTTTTAATCAACATAAACATCCATCTAAACACTCTCTCTACTCTTTCTGTGTTTTGTTAGTTCATATCAGCAGAACGGTCCAGAGAGACGGTCGCTGACTTAAGTGGAATCAGCTGTTGTCGACTGATCTCTTTAATGAGTAGCAGAGCCCGTTTAATCAGTCACAGTTCTTCTGAACACACAGAGGAAGGAAGATTTGAGTCTCAGCTTTAAAGGTAAATCAAAGTCAGATCTGAGAAGGCTTTTTTTTTCAGTCTACGTTTGGGCTCAGTTGGTTAAAATAGATTTTAGAGGCAAACCTTGCAGAGAATCATCGTTTAACTCTGTAGTTCCTGTAAGCTCTGGGCTACTTTCTTTGCTCTGAAACATGGCTGTTCTGTTTCACTTACACATGAATTATTGATGCAGCAGGCAGATGTGAAAAAAGCCATCAAATAGCACCTGCCTGCCTCATACCAAATGCATACGGGCAGAGTTAGTGAAGAGTGTACTTTTTATCTTTGAAAACAGAACTTTGAGTTGGGAAAGTTGGGGGGGGGTCAGAAGCCCCATCGAGAGAAAGCAGACTGTTAATAATAAAGAAGATGTAATCTGTACAGCAGGTTTCTGCTGCACCCAAGAGACAAAATCAAAAAGTAAATGCAGGTTGAACAATTCACATTTGATAACTTAGACCATACAAAGCGGCTGTGGCTCAGTGGTAGAGTCGGTCGTTTATCAACTCAACGGACGGGGGTTTGATCCTGCAGCCACATGTCTGATGTGTCTTTGGGCGAGACACTTAAAGAGAATCCAAATTGAATAGTTGTATCTAGATTTTCTAATAACGTTGGTTTATAGCCTTCTTCTTTTGTTGTATTGTGGTATATTTATTTGAATGTATCCTCATATAGCCTGGTGTCATGTGGGTTGAATGTTGTTTCAGAAAGCAGGTTTAGTGCAAACACTCAGTTAACCCTGAATTTAGGGAAACTCTGGGTTTTTGTTTCAGAGAGGCAGGTCACTCAAACCTGAGAAAGAGGAGTAACTCCAGCCCGTTCCAGAGAGGGAGGTAACTTTAGCTCTGAGTCAGTTACTATGGCAACTGAGTCTGTGAACCTAAACCTGATTGAGCAGGTTTTCTTCAATGAACCCTGAGTTTCTACATTCTCTACCTTCTTTCAGAGCCAGAGACGCTTCATTTCCTCATTCTTTCATTCAGTCTGTATAATGCTGGAAAACAAATTAAATCAGCTGATCTGGAACCCAAAACTCAAGTTTCCCATCTGAGGGTAAATCAACTCAACCTGCTTTCTGAAACGGGGCCCCTGTTCACCCAAAGGCTCAGCTAGGGACAAGAGATGGACATGAGCAACAACCACAAACCATAGACTGTAAATACTTCTACAAACTGTGTGTGACGCACACCACTTTCATGTTTTGTTTTGAAACTAGATTGAAGTTCCTGATCCTTTTTCATTGGTTACGTTGATGTCCTAACAACAACAGACGTGTTTCAGCACAAGGCCGTTGCTGAAACACATCTGTTGTTGATCTGTACGCTGCTGCTCTACCTGAATAAAACACACCATGAAGGACATTCAGTGTTCCCACTTTTCTGTCTCTCTTAAGTCAATGTCCTAACCTTTGTTCTCACACCGTTACATCACATGTACGGTATCCTGTCCTGCCATGTCTCTGCACTCAGAGAACCCAGGTCACAATGTAACCCTACAATCCAACAGGTCCCTACTGTATTTCAAAATAAAAGCAGGATTGAATTAAAAAAAACAAGTAAAGTAACTCTCAGCTTAAGACGGTACAAAACTTCATAATAAAAGCCTAACAATTTTATTCTTGGATGCGAAATAATGGATTTCAGACATGCAATTAAAAAATTAGATTCATCGCAATTCACTATTGAAATTAAGTGATCAATCGCGATATACATTTTAACCGTTTGACGGCCCAAATTTAAATATCATAGCATATCAAATGGAGGAAAGAACAGAAGGCAAGCTTTTACCTGATGGCATTTATTAAATATCAAAACATGTTAATTTAAAAATGACATTAGACCTCATTCTTCAGAGTGTGCATGTGGTTTTGGATTCTTTATAAAAAAAAGTCTTGAGACCAGAAAAGGTTCAGTAGAAAATCTTCCTGTACGGACTTCAAAGTGAAGGTTTGGTGAGCCGTCTCAGTGCATCTTTGTTTAAAAGCTGAAAGTGAAACTGTGACAAAGAGTCATATGGCACACAGAGTTAAGAGTAAAAACAAAACATCAGAGAGATTAACAGACAATCATCATCGGAAGAACCAGAGCATTAAATATATTAAAATTCAGTGTGCAAAATTACAAAAAGACTGACCCGACTTGAGTCTGATCAGGAGCACAGACGCAGCCGATGGAGAAGAAGAACACTGCTAATCTAAAGTTTGTGTAAAAACGACGACAGTGCAATATTGTGTTAGTCAGTTTCTGTTTTGTTGCTCGCTCTCACACACATCCTCACTTTTCAGACACGTTACACATCATCATGTACGCTGATTTAAAAAATAATTATGTTACGAGTTTAGTCTAAAACACAGAATCATCATATGAACTCTCCGTCATTTTTTAGAGTGTGTTCAAAGTTTTACATCAACTTTAAGGTACACTGTATGTTCATCGTCGTTTAAAAAACAACTTAAACATTTAAGACGCAGTTTTTTTTCCCATGCCAGCTGTGAGACAAACGTACAGACCGTATATAAGAAGTGGATTTATACTGTGACGTCGCTGTTTCAGAAGAACAGTTCTGAAGCCTCCAGTTTGGTTCTTTTAATGCTTGTTCTTACAGCGAGTAGTGACACAGCAACACCTCTGACCTGAATCTACAGAAGCCTTATGCAAACATGTTTACACACTTTGTATTTACTCCGTCTTCCTGTGATAACAAGACCTTTCCCGCCCTTTTCTCAAGATCTTGACTTATACCCTCACTCGTATCCTGCACAGAGTTGCAGAATGGCTAACACGACTTTGTTGTCCTGAGCGATCAAGAAAAACAACTGAAATAAACTCTTGAGATAATGAGATAATGAGATGAGTCGAGATCTCCAGAAAACAACCGGACATTTCTTGATACTACAGGAAAATGGAGTAAATAAAATGTATGAATGCGGTCCGCCTCGGGCTTCCATATGAATGAGAGGTTGCAGTGCGACAGAATAACTGGCTTTAACGTCTTCATTTTCTCTAAATGGAAACGTATGTGTAGGTTCTCAGTCATCCAGAAGCTTGATCCAAAGGCGGCTGGGCTTAGCTGAAGACGTTTCGCCTCTCACCAGATAGTTCAGAACTGAAGAAGACCTTTGGAGGAGAGGTGAAACGTCTTTAAGAGCTTCCGCTAAGCCCGGTTTCTTTTGCATCATCAACTTTAAACTAGATTGGGAAAATAAATTCATTAGGAACGTTTCATTTTCTCCTCTTCTTTCATTCAACCAGTGCAGTCGCCCTCTGCAGGCCATGATAAAGAATGCAGCTTCACGTCTACTGCTTGTATACAGTCTGTGGACAACACATGGATATCCATTATTTATTTTCCTGGATGAATGCAGATAAAATGCCTCGCTTTGTAAGATTCGAGTAGTTCGTGACTTTAGTGCAAAAAGAGCAGTAACAACAGACCAATATTATAAAGCACGTTTCAGTTATTAAAAAAAAAAACGTTCAAAGACACTTCTTTAGTTCTTACTGACAAGTTTCAGTGATTATTTAAATGTCACTTAAGTGTTAAAAAAAAAAGTGGCTTTCAGGGGAAAAAAACAGTCAGTCTTCCTATGAAGGTTAAAAATAAAGAGTCAGCTCCACCTGCAGAATGTTTGTGCTGCTGCTGAAGCTTTTCAATCAGCTGATCCTGTGTCGACTCCCAGCGACAGTGATGAGGAACTGAACTCCTCTAGGCATCAAAAGTCCGTCTGGCTTCCTTGATACTCCGCAGGATGAGTCTCCACAGGACAAAAGAGTTTTTATTTTATTTTTTTAATCCCTCTCTGTTTCAGCCCCCGACAGTACGGGTAATAATCCGCCTCTGAACAGAGACAGTGAGGGTGTGTGTGTTGGTTTTAGAGAAGCAGAGGTGTGTGTTCTCCGGCCGACTCGCTCCTCTTTGTGAGCTGCCGCGCTCGGGCCAGGATGCGGTTCGGCAGCGAGGGGAAGTGGTGGCTCGGGTCCAGGACGTTGGTCTTCCGGCGCTCGCGCTCCTGCAGCCACATGAGGTACGGGCTGGGCGGGAAGAACGGGCGAGAGCGCTCACGATACAGCTGCAGGACGATGCCACCCACCCCGAGGACCACCCACACCGTGATCATGGCGTAGTCTTAAGTGCCGGGAGGAGGAGAAAAAAAGAAGTTTTGTTCAGGTTGGATAAGAGGTTGGAGCTTGATAGCAGCACTGAGATTAAACTCACCGATTGTTTGGAAGGGCACGTCTGTGAACATGGCGGTGAAGTTGTTGTTGAGGAAGCGTTTGAGGATGTTAAGAGTGATGTAGGAGAGGCTCGTGGAGATGTAGGCGTTTATAGCCAGGACGACGGCGTAAGCACCGACAACACCACACGTGATGATGTTCCCCTGTTGACAAAGAAACAAAAAACATCAGTCAGAGTCGAACGCGCTCTCATCTTACTTTTGTATTCAGAATTAGGTAAGGCAAGTTTATTTACAAGTCAAAGAGAATATCACTTCAAGAAAATATCAGACATAAAATGCAAAACAAATTTTAATATGTCCTCAAGTTAAAAGTCAATAAGGAATTCATATCACAGATAATGAGGTGATTTAGTTATGGAGTGATTGAAGTTTTGGGAAGGCAGCAGTAAACTGAAGTGTTTTAAGACTTCTTAAAAAGAGCTGACAGATACAGCTCGATGACACAGCATGACTGAAATCACTTCACTCCTGCTAAAAACTGAATAATGGACATTTTCAATGACAAACTATTTCAATATAAGACTCATTCTTAATCCATTTAATTATGTTTTCTGTTGAAGGAAGAATGTGCAACTTTTTGGGGCACACAGTTGGATCGAATTTCATGGATGAATGACTCTATGGGGGGGCTAAAGGAGACCCCTAGTTCTACTCCAAAAGGATTTAAAACGACTCTAAAGAGGAGCACCATTTCCCTCAATTTTTTAAAAAAAATTTCAATACTACCACTAGAGGGCGTCAAAGTAAGGAGCTTCATCTAGAAACACGCTGAAGTGAGCGGGCTGGAGGGGGAAATCAGTTTACCTCTCTGGGCCAACGCACAAAGAAGAGCGGAACGATGACCATGATGCAGCAGAAGGTCACCCAGAAAACGGCATCAGATCGCCTGAACACGTCCAGGTCACCTAGAGAAAGAAACACACGGAGCATGTGTAACATACGACAACGTTTACATCTTGACCCTGACTGCATGTTTCATACGGTATTTAAGATCAAACAGGCTGATGTTGGAGCGAGGGACAGGGTTGTGTGGTGGTTTGCGTACCCAGAGGAGTGAAGAGGATGATGGAGGCGAGGAGGAAACCCAGCATCAGTCCGACCACGACGATGCAGGCCATGACTGAGCCGAAACGCCACCAGCTCATCACCAGGAGGACGCCGCCCACCACGCCGATCACAGCTGACAACGCCAGGCAGACTGCACAGGAACATTATCAGAGAGGTGTTACTCTGAGGAGAACATCTGTTCATTTCTACAGGATGACAAATGCAAATTATGCAAATAATCAAAGAGGAAACACTCACTGTCATATTGCAGCTGTGTTGTCCTCGTGATCAGCACGAAGAAGAAAAACGCTGCAAAGCTGAATCCCATGCAGAACAGCTCTGCAGAAAACCAAACAAGAATGAAACACAGTAACTTTATGAAAACCAGGTCAGGCATTTCTACATAAACATCACTAATGCTCCTGAAAAATCAGCTGCTGCATGTCCATGACACCACATGACGCTGGGTGAAGAATGTCCACTGCGTCGTACCCTGAGAGTCTGACACTTTCAGATTTATCAGATCTACTGGGAGCAGTGGCAGAACGCAGTCATGGGTTCAGATTGGAACAAATACATTTCTGCATCACATGTGAGGCAGGCCAGAGATCTCCAGTTTCTGATGCTCTTTAACTTTCATACAGCGACACAGGATTCACTAAAAATCACTCCACACCTCTGAGGTGTGTTCTCTCTGCACC